TCATATGTTCATTTTTAGTAAACACGGCACCGCTCAAACGTCAAATTTGTTCATGCTGTTCATTCCGTGCATTGGTCAATAGACGAGTGCACGGATGGATTTGAGTTCACTCACTGGACAAAAAGTGACACAACAGCGGGGCCCTGTTTACTAGAAATGAACATATATGTGTTCATTTTTAGTAAAAAGGGCCCCGCTGTTGTGTCACTTTTTGTCGAATGAGTGAACTCAAATCCATCCGTGCACTCGTCTATAGAGATTTTCACGTCTGGTTGTATTGGTGGGATATGTGAGAGCGTGTTAGTGATTATCCGAGGAAAATACATAACAAATCGATGTCAAACTCATTTTGACAGATCTACTTTCATACATTTTTTAGGTTAGCCAGAGGAAAATAATAAACAATTTTACCCGGCGTTGTTCCCGCTAGTGTGCGTGCGTTAAACGTCACTAATCTCTATTGCGGAACAGAGACCGACGTCAAATAAAGGAATTACGAAGAAGGAGAAGAAATACACATTGAAAAGTTCGGTACTCGTTTAAAAGTATGTTTGATTGAGCTGAATTTCACGTCTGTTATGACTCAATGTTATGCCTAAATTGACGCTCGTATATGTCAGTCTCAGGGCACCTAAATTTAAATGAATTTTTCTAGGTGTGTAGCAACATTAGCGGTCAACTTCTTGAGTGTGAGAGTTGAGGAACTTTCCACATCAAATAAAAATCCGTTTTTCATCTATTCAAATTTCTACCGCCGTGTCAACAGTTGGCATGGAAATTCCTCCTTGAAAAACATGGAAAACAAAATAAACTCACCAGTATCATATCATTTATTCTTCTAAAACAAGACAAAACCGACTTAGAAGAAGGTACCATCATCATTATAAATCTCCCTAGATTTTCCACTGCGTTGATTTTCGGCCAGGCAAGTGCCAGCGACATGAACTTTCGACACCCGAATGAAAGAGATTTACCGATTGCACACGTAGACGTTTCTATTTTCTAGAACAAACATCTTGGACGAATGCGGTGCCACACTAGAAATATCATATGGTCACATCATAAATTATTCAGCTTGTTTTCTTTGGCACGTATCGATTTTTATTTTTATGAAAGAAGAGGGAAATTCATGTGTGTCATTCCAGGAATGATCGGAGTGAACGGAATACTAATGAATCCTAGTAGTTAACCTTTCCTATGTACCGACGGCTCCAACGGTGAAATAGCTGGTGTAGATTCGCGGAAATTGTATCCTTTCATTAGGTTCATTTTTTCTCAACTGAATGCAGTTGTTGTGCACTGCGACAACTAGCGTAGAGAAGTTTTCGAATTAGGCCACTTAAGAAGAAGCATAGTTGAATGATAAAACGTACAATTTGCCGGAAAGGCTAGTGCTTTCCTAGAAAACAAGTGTTTCAAACTAGACAACGAAAATCGCCGGTAGTCCTACTTAGAACAATCGTAGGTACATGTAGCGATTTAAGAGTGAACATTTTGCGATGTTGCCTTTTCGGTTTACACGTAATTGCTTATGGGGCCATCTGAAGACATCGAGGTGCCTAGTAGCGTACTGTAAGCCCGTGTAGCTCGATTGAAATACACGTGTGAAGTCTTGTCTTCTCATCCTGCTCTGAACCTGCTACATGCAAACACATTGTGATCGTTACCGTTTATGTATGCACGATGAAAAGCGGACGAAGTACTGGGGCTAAATATAATTATCACGGCCAGCAATCACGTTCATTCATGTGTTGTGGGCGCTCATTAAATTAACTTTCATGAAGTTTTCACGCCTCAAATGGTCCATTATTCGAAAATGTGATTGTCATTCACACGATAATCATTCGATTAATTCGATGTTGATCGAACCCATCCAGCCGTGACTGGGGGTAGTTTCATCAGCGTGCTCTCGAAAGACCGGCTGTTTTATAAATGGAATATGGGTTTATTGTATTGAGGGTGAGTAGAGTGATAATAGTGCTTATGAAATCGATGTGATTTTGCAAAATGATGATGATTTTGCAAAATATTGAAGGGCAAATTGGTATATGGAACACATGCTAGGAAAAATCTGCATAGAGCTTTTTGACACTCATGCACCATTTAAATTGAAGGAGTGCGAGTAAGAGGGAAACAGATTAGTGGGAAAACAAATCATTCCTTTATTCCTGTGTGCTGTGATAGAGAAAGACGATTACACGCCAAAAAGGTTTATGTACCCGTTTCCAAACGTTCCACTAAATGACAACGTATTAAGGAGGTTACTTATCCACAATTGCAGTTTCAAAAGCGATCACGAATAAATTCATGCGTAACATTTGAAAAAGATCTTTTATAGGGTGCCCAGGAAATTTAAATACAGTTTGATATTTAAATAAAAACACCTTGTTTTAAGGAACTGCATAATTAATTCATATAGGCAAGTGCAAATACGGGGTGAGTAGGAACTGTGGGTATAACACATTTCAACAACAATTTCCAGGGTCAAACTCATCTGACAATGATAGTTTTAGTAACAACGCTTACATTGGATACAAAAACAGTATTATTGTTTTCATCCCTATTACCAGGATGCAATTTTTGTCCCCATATAACTTTTAACTAGCAAATAATGTTGGGAACACTGATCTTTTTGCAGCGTTTTGTAAACATTTACCAAAGAGACCTTTTTTGTTGGTAGCAGGTGATCATTTTGAAGAAATGTACATGTAAAAAATTATAAGTTTTAGACAGTTTGCATAAATAGTATACGCGTCCTAGAAGCCACGGTATTTTGCAAAACCCGGGGAAAGTGAGACCTAAAGGGTGGAACGGTCAAAAATGGGTCAATCATGATTAAGTGCACACTGATTATGTTATTGTATCAATGAAGAGATGAACTAGCCTACGGCTAAACATATTTTAAAAAAAGATAAAAATACTGCATAAATGATCAAACTTTATTTCATTTTGAAGTTCAATGGCGACAAAGTACAAGAAAATTATTTGATTGGGCTTCCGATTTTCGAAACACGAACTGTCGGGCTTTACGTTTCACACCTTCCATCAGATTTTGTACCGCTGTTGTATCACCCTTATTTGATGCTGAACGTCAATTTGCTTTGAACTGTTTCTCATTCAAACTGTTTTCTGAGTTTTCTTGAGGTTCCGCTTAACGATTGCCCAATATTTTTCAATTTGGTTCAGCTACGGCGTGTATGGAGGGTTTTTGTCCTTGGGTAAGACTTGCACGTTGTTGGCGGTATGCCATTCCTGAGCCATTTTCCCGTAGTGGCAGGAAGCGAGGTCTGGCCAAAACAGCACGGAACAACTGTGTATGTTAAAAAAAAAAGGCATATCTTAGTTGACAATGTCACCAAAATTGCACATTTCAGCCCACAGGTGCAAATCGCCTGCCAATCCAAGTATTTTTCGGGAACTTTGCCATTTTTTTTGCTTAAGCTTATCTTGTACCTTTCCTTTTACGGAAGCCGTGTAAACTCTTGACCTGGGAGCTGCTTGAAATCCGCCTTGGCCATCGCCATTTTGACAACTGAATGGAAAATGGCAAAAATAAAAATAGAGGCAACATGGACGAGTGCACGGATGGATTTCAATTCTCTATTCTAAATTCTATATCACAGCAACTATACTTTGAGCTTATTTTGTTTAATCTATCTTATATATAAAAAAAAGTCTGTGGAACGCGATGATGCTATCAAAGCAAATATTTAAATCAAATAATTATATCCACAAGAAGCCGTTAGTCCCCGATGGTGCTGTCAGAATGGAAATCTAAATATACTCATTCTGAGAAATTTCCGTTTTAAGTTGTAAAACGCTAATATAAAATATTTGGCAACACTGTACAAACATAGTAAATTCATATTAAGAATTCTTGTCAAATTTTCTCATAAAAACACTCTATTGTAAATTGTAGGTTTATTTGTTCCAAAGATATTGATAAAAGAAAGTAGTGCTTTCTTGAAAATCACGAAAAATATAAAATACTCCCCTGGACCGAGGGGTGCTTCGATCGGCACACAAATTTGAATTCATAAAAGAGACCAAAATAAACATCTCCTTTAAAATTGGTCCTAATCGGAAGAGCTCAATTTCACTTTTGTATTTTTTTTTTCGGCCATTGGCGCCGAACGGCCCAGATTTATTTGTAAAAAGTTCTGAACATTTCGGAAATTCTGACAAAAAATGATGGGAAGTAACCTAACGTTCAGCTGTTGACATTCTCCCAAAATTTTACAGATTTATTTAAAAAATTCTAAGGGTGCAAGATATGTCCAAAATTAGAACAGGGGATCAAGTGAGCCCACTCTTCCCTGATACAAAAAGAAAAACAAATCAACCACATGCACACTGGGTGTGATATTTTTTATCAATGCGCCCATTCTTAGATATTGAATTGGTGTTTTACGTCTTGGTCAGATCCTGTACCTATTCCTGATTAGAGATATTGCTTTACAAAACTACCTCAATTACGGCCTAAAGAATCCCTGCAATGTGATACATACCAATGTCTAAAATTATTCCTATAGTTTCAAGCGTCATACGAAATCGAGCTAGTCATATGACATAGCAACAAAAAGTTGCTTATTTACACCAAATATAACGGCACACTACAAGTTAATTAACACAGCACTAGTAAATCTAGGTGAACTCATTCCAAACTTTTCCAATCAACTCGTCCACCATTAACGCACCAGTAGAAAAAGCATAAGAGTTTCTCTTTCGTACTCGGTTGATTGAAAATGGACAATGAATACATGCCAAAACCAAGATACGCTTCCCTACCGGCGGCTTCGCAGGAACAATAACTTATGTAGCTGTGTACCTTCAATCATGCTCCTAGGGAACCTCGCATAAAATGAGTATATTCTACCAACTGCGATTCTAGGTCAATACTGAGTTTTGTTTCATCAAATTTCAATACTTAGCCAATTCAACCTGATTTAACAATTGCACATCATTAAACTAAAAATAACCTCTCTATTCGCCATTTGCAGATTTCTCCAAGCCATGGAGATCCGAGGCCTAATAACCCGATTGCTGGGTCCATGTCACATCCGACATCTGATACTGTGCAGTTTGGGAATTTACTCCATCCTGGTGCAGTCGGTCCATTGCCGACATCATGACATCGGTAGTTCAGTGGCACATCAGCTAGGATCGAAATACTCACAATCATCCTCGTTATCGTCATCCTCGCAGTCGTCGTCATCATTAGCTGAAGAGCCGGCGCTGAACAAAGATTCAGGTAATTATAATTTTTTGTTCAACATTTGCTTTCGGCTACTTCAAGTTTTTGCCTTGTACTTTTTCCTTGTCTTCGTATGTTTTCCACTTTCGATATCCTTTTGCGATTGCAGTTTTACTTTTCGTTCCCGGTTTACTATCTTGACGATCTATTTGTGCCTGCACATGTTTTCCATTTGGTTACGTCAACCTTCAGCTTAAACTTCTTCAGCTCTTATATGTTTCAAGTCTGCATTGATTACAATTTGGTTTTGATTACTAATGTTCGATGTCATCCATGGAGCAGGTATCGATATGCTTTCCTAGTCCATCAACTTACCTTCCTGATCATGAGCGAAAAATCACATAAAAATTTCTGTCAACAATCTAACGGAATGTTTACTCAGTTGTCACTCAAAACTGAGTTTACTAAGACACTGACACTGTCATAACCTGAAGGATTTTTATTTATTTTATTTTATTTATTTATTTCGTCGGACTTCATATAATTTTAGATGAGAAAAAACCTCTATGAGCCAACCATTCACTGTTGGGCTTAAAGAGACTTTAAAACCCCATGGTTATTCAAACATATAACAATAAATTAACTAATAAATAATATCAACGCCGATTACAAGCAATACACATATAATAATAATTAAAAACACCAGTTTACGATCGTTAAAATTTAAATCAATGAAAAGCTAAAGACAAGCTGGTTCAACATTTACCCAGCAAAATTAGCCGTTAGGTAAGTTTGTTGATTATAAAATCGATTTTATATAGGATAGCTCGACCTATCTTATCGATAGTAAAAACAGTAGGTTCTGTTGTTTTTATATTGTGGATATTTGCGGGCACCCATCTCTATTTCCCGGCTGTAGAGATTGGTAAAATGGGATTGCATCAGTGATTTGTTTTCATCAGAAAAATTCAAAAAAAAATATCACATCAAAGTAGATGCACTAAGCGGCGCCGGTAGTGTAGTGGTAAGCGTGATTACCTCTCACCCCAGCAGGCCTGGGTTCAATCCGAGTCGGCGCCGTCGGGAGGTTCAGAGGCAGAACATCTCTGATCACGCCTTCCTTCGGAAGGGAAGTAAAGCCGTTGGTTCCCGGTTCATAAGTTCATGGGTCGATAGGTAGGGTCCAGGTGTGGGAGATGCCTTCCTGGCGTCGGTAGCATTGGTGCTCAGCACGGAAAACAAGATCGACGGAAAACAAATCAAGGAAAAAAATAATAAATAAAAATGGACAAAATTATCACTAATACAGTGCATGAACTGATATTACGCTGCTTTTACTGCATTTGTTTATTTTTGTGGCCATAAAAATTACATGAGATTTTGAACATGATTGAAGTGCATCCTCATGGATGTAATATTAAAAATATGATTTGCTGTGTATACGCTACGTAGTGTGCGTACGATAATCGTCAGCAATCTCTATCCTACAAGAAATTGAAATGATGTCTGTATTGAGAATCTGACGTTCACCATTCAATCTAACACCCACTGGTCGGCAGTGGTATTATGAAAGAAATCTGCTAGCAATAATCTGACAATTTAAATCAGCTTTAGTCGGCTATTTGGAATGTGATAGCTCTACTGCAGGTCCAGCAACCCATTTCAGCGTGTCTCGTAATTTATTCATTCATAATAATACGCCTTCTGTTTGAACTTATCCCGCATTTCAACTAGCCCCGGTGTACCTTATCCATTGGCGCAACTAAAGGAAAATTCTTGCAATTAATTTTTCAAACTTCTCAATTTGGCAATTAGCGAACAATTTTGATGGGCTGCCACGCTAGCCCCCTTGTTGTTATGCCAATGACCTTATCTTACATTAGCGGGCCTCATAGCCTAGTCAGTAAAGGCACGGTATTACCAAGCCGGAGGCGGCGGGTTCGATTCCCGGTCCGGTCGAGAGAATCTTTCGGGTTGGAAATTTTCTTGACTTCCCTGGGCATAGAGTATCATTGTGCTTGCCACACAATATACAAATTCATGCATTGGTATTGGCATCGAAAGCTCTCAATTAATAACTGTGGAAGTGCATTTAGAACACTAAGTTGAGAGCACGCAATAAGCTAATATGCGCTAAGCAATAAGCTTGAAAATGCGAATAAGAAGAAGAAGTTATCTTACATTATGTTATATGTTCTCAAGGAGTTCTATAGGTTCTTACAGGCACCCCAGTGTTATAGTCCAACTACAATTATGGTCCACTTCCATTTGATTACCATGCACTAGTGACTGACCCATAATAGTTACTAGCTGGCCCATAATACTGGGATAACGAAGCATTGGTGAGGAATTTATTGAGCCTATAGATCTTCAAGATTAGAATTTCTCGACGATTGGGAGAACCTAAGATATGTCGTAAATACAAATGTCCTACATTGTGTGAAGCTCTACGGATTCGTTCAGTACATCGAAACATAATGGAAAAGTTCATTGAACCTGAAGATCTGAACTGCAAGCACTTTGGTGAATCTAAGATCATTTGCAGAACAAATTATGTCACACGAAGCGTTACGGATTCGTATAATATACCAGGACATCGTACAAGACTTTGATGAGCCTGTAGATCGTCAAGACCGAAACTCCAGGATAATTATGAGATCGCATTGTCATTATAGCTATATAGCACACATGTTTATATGTGGCTCCGTGGAGCAATATGGGTTTAACAATTTAGTCTGAACATCGTACAATACATATGAACTCTATAGAACTTCAATAGCTGAACTCCAGACTTTTGGATGGTCCTCAATATACATTTTTTTAATAAATTATGTTCCAAATTGTATGATGGAGTCCCACGAACCTATTCAAATTTTTATATTAACTCAGGACATTGAATATACTTTGTAGAGGACGTAAAACATCAAGATTTAACCTCCAGGATAATAACAAAACAATAAATCTCACATGATATTATGAGGCTCCATGAATCTCTAAAGGTTTAAAATGAAGTCGGGACAATTATGTAGAATACCGGGACAGTGCAATGCGGGGATTAAGAATACTTTGCTGATACTATAGAACAGTCGTGCTCAGGCCCATTTTTCAATAGCTGTTTGATAACTATATATTAAGTTGAATTTTGCGTATTTCCCAATACATTTGAAATGCAAAAATTAATTCAAGCTGAAGTTGTTGCATGCTTGAGATCCAAGCACGTTAAGGTTTTTTTCAGTTGGTTTGTTTTCCGTCGATCTTGTTTTCCGTACTGAGTACCAATGCTCCCCCACCTGGACCCTACCTACCGACCCATCAACTCATGGACCGGGGACCAACGGCTTTACTTCCCTTCCAAAGGAAGGCGTAATCAGAGATTTTATGCCTCAGAAAATCCCGGCGGCTCCGACTAAGATTGAATCCAGGCCTTTTGGGGTGAGAGGATATCGCGCTTACCACTACACCACCGGGCTAATGCGGTGAAGTTGACGATTACAAAGTTGAAATGTTGATATTAGTAAAGTATTTCCTTTCAACTTTGTAAACCTACAATTCTCTGATGATAATATAAGATCTTACGAAACTCTACAGATTCAATCATTTAGTCAGGACATCCAGCAAAATATAATTCAGTACGAAAAACTAAGAGATTAATTCGCCAGGATGTTTTGGAGGACTTAATATGCCTTGTATATTCTGTTTAGTTTTTCATATGATGTGATTCAAACCTACGAGCATTTTTGAATACACATCTTTGGATCAAATATCCTATTCGCCTCAGTTGAACCTTAATGTATGAGGGTCAAAATTCTAGAATAATTTGACGACCTTAATGATTCTAATAAAAAAAATCCGATAATTCCGAAAATATTTTCAAAATCAGCTTCGCCAATGGACGTGTGGAACTCTTACCTTACCTTACCAATCAGGCTAAGGCGTTGTTGTCATCTGTTCCATCCAAAACAGTCGTCTCCACTCTGCTCGATCCATGGCCACACTTCGCCAGCCTCGTAGTCTGCGAAGGGTCCGCAGGTCGCCTTGTACTTGGTCAATCCACCTTGCCCGCTGCACGCCTCTTCTTCTTGTTCCTGTTGGGTCGCTTTCTAGAACCATTTTCACTAGGTCGTCGTGCGGCATTCTTACGACGTGCCCAGTCCACCGTAGTCGCCCAATTTTTGCAATGTGGACGATGGATGGTTCTCCCAGCAGCTGGTGCAATTCGTGGTTCATTCACCTCCTCCACGTTCCGTCATCCATCTGCACTCCACCGTAGATGGTACGCAACACCTTCCGTTCGAAAACACCAAGGGCGCGTTGGTCCTCCACGAGTATAGTCCAGGTCTCGTGGCCGTAGAGCACCACCGGTCTAATCAGCGTCTTGTAGATAGTCAACTTCGTGTGGCGGCGAATTTTATTCGACCGGAGCGTCCTCCGGAGTCCAAAGTAGGCACGATTCCCTGCCATAATGCGTCTTTGAATTTCTCTGCTGGTATCATTTTCGGCGGTCACCAGTGAGCCCAAATACACGAACTCATCGACCACCTCGATTTCGTCACCGTCAATCTGAACTCGGGGTGGGAGGCTAACATTGTCTTCCCTAGAACCTCTTCCTTTCATGTATTTTGTCTTTGATGCGTTGATGGCAAGTCCAATCCGCCTAGCTTCAGCCTTCAGTCTGATGTACGTTTCCGTTTCAAAGTTCCGTGCCATAATGTCGATGTCATCGGCGAAGCCAAGAAGCTGGATTGACTTCTTGAAGATCGTGCCATTAGCGTCAGCTCTTCTGATCACACCTTCTAACGCGATGTTGAATAGCAGACACGAAAGTCCATCACCTTGCCGTAACCCCCTTCGAGATTCAAAGGGACACGAGAGTGTCCCCGACACTCGAACAACGCACATCACTCGATCCATTGTCGCCTTGACCAATCGCGTCAGTTTATCTGGAAATCCGTACTCGTGCATGATCTGCCATAGCTGATCTCGATCGATTGTGTCGTATGCGGATTTGAAATCGATGAACAAATGATGTGAGGGCACGTTGTATTCGCGGCATTTCTGCAGAACCTGCCGAATCGCGAAAATGTGGTCCGTTGTAGCGCAGGCACCCATTAATCGCGCCTGGTATTGCCGCACGAACTCTCTTGCAAATGGTGACAGGCGGCGGCATTGAATTTGGGAGAGTATCTTGTAGGCGGCGCTCAGCAGTGTGATCGCGCGGTAGTTGCAGCAATCCAACTTGCCACCCTTTTTGTAGATTGGGCATACGACACCTTCCATCCACTCCAACGGTAATATCTCCTCCTCCCAAATCTTGGCAATTACCCAGTGCCGCGCTCTAGCCAGTGCTTCACCACCATATTTTATTAGCTCACTTGGTAGTTGATCTACACCAGTTGCTTTGTTGTTCTTCAGCCGACTGATCTCCTCCTCAACTTCTTGAATATCAGGGGCAGTAGCCTGTCGTCTCTGCGCGTGCTCCAAGGTCTGTTGCCATGCCACCTTCGTTTTCTGCTGCATCACCGTTGAGGTGCTCGTCATAGTACTCTAGGTAGCCAACCAATCACGCCTTGGAGCATCTTACCCAGCACTATAAAGTCGATTACCACCTCGTTGGTGGTGCCACAGCTCTGGTAGAAAGTAGCCGCTTGATGCCCGCTTTTCCATACCTTTTGTCTCGTCCAGCAAAGTTCTTGCAGTGCTACGACTTCGAAGTTGCGTGGTTGAAGTTCGTCATAGATTAATCTATCACAGCCTGGGAAGCCGAGCGATTTGTTGTGCCATGTTCCGATTTTCCAATCGTAGTCCTTATTTCATCGCGTGGGTCTGTGCCGATTGTTCTGATCCGCATTTCTTTCTTCAGTATTTGCAACTTTATGTTTTTTTTCAGGGCGGCTTGTTGGGCCTGCTCCAACTCCCTGTCTCGCCGGGGGACCATCGTGCACAGCTCTGTTTAGAGTCCTACGCTGGCACTAGCAGGGTGATCAGCCGCTCCTAACATGGAGAAAAGACGCCGTTTCAAGCCGCACCTCCATGGTGAACAGACGCTCGGGTTTGGTGAAACATTTCCTCTATCACCGTACTATGGTTACCACGCCAGTGTTCGCATCGCAGCTCTTCACTTTGCTATTGCCGGACTGGCAACATTGCCGCCACCCAGCTGTGTCCATGTTTCAGCTGTTAGTCTTGTATTATCATATGACTCGGTGACGCGTGAAATAGGATCTTTTTTTTTCTTTATTTAGAAGATTTTTAGTCGTAGACTAGTTCATCTCCGTAAAGGGTGGGAAGCCTTATAAAGAGGTCCCCCAGCCACATTGCTTGAGTATCATGCTACTTCAACCTTTTATAATCTACTTAGCTAAACATATAGACAGCCAGTACAATAACACATTAAACAGCTTACGAAAAAGACAGACTAAAAGGATACAAAAAAAGAAGAACAAAATATAAAATGAACAAAAATAAAACCAATAACAAAACATAGGTTCACTTTAGAAGGTCCTTGTGGGCTCCGTCCAGCGGGTATGTCCGGACGGTCGAAAGAATCGATGGTGCTAAATCCTGCAGTATAGCTTCGCCGCCTTCAAAAAGCGCAGTACAGCTGCTTGAGATGGGGACACGTCTGCTAGCGTGTCCGTACGCTGGCAGGCAGACCGTGGAGGCAATGAAGGTGTTCGAATTGTGGACATACGCATAACACGTGCTCCACCGTCGAAGGAATATGGCAGAATTCACAGGTCTTCCTGAAGGGTCCTCCGCTGAAATCCCGTTAGATTAGGGAGTGTCCTGTCCGGAGTCTGGAAAAAATCCTCTGATCTCGCAGGTTTGCAAGGTCCGTCCACTTCCTGCAACGGTACCTTGTGCGAGTACCGAGGACCCGATGGGCCTGACCCGGCTAGGAACTTGTGAGATTAGGGAGTGTCTAGGTATTCCGCTCCTTCCTGGTTGTCAACTCACCATTTTGTAGCCCAAGTGCGGAACTCATTATACGCGTTCGTTTCGTTAAAGCTTCTTCTTCTTCAATTACGTTAAAGCTTCTTCTTCTTCTTCAAACACCTTTTTCGAGAGTTAGCACAATGATACTCTGAAGTCCAACTTGAAAGATTTCCTTGGCCGAACCAGGAACAAAATCCACCGCCTCCGGCTTGTTAATACCGTGCCTATACTGACTAGGCTATCTCAGGCCCCAATCAGCACTGGATGCTAATCCTGATCAAATGGAAGCAAGCTACCAGCTTCCCAACTTACCAACTTAAACATATCAGAAAGCACTTTTCATAATGTTCATGTATGAAAAATCGGCAAAGGCATTTGAGGTACGCATTTACGATCGACCACCAGAGCTCCCAACAAGCTAGCGTTGGTGCTGGAGAAATACGGTGATGTGTAGTGTGTCGGTCGGGAAAAATTCCCTGCGGACTTGGGCCTCGACATGTAAATACACAGGTGTACGGGGTGTATTTATGAACGTAAAAATATTTTGCCAACTCGCTGCGTAATCGAAAAAGGAACATGTTCTATCAAGAAATGTGTACAATGTGATGTTCAAATGCAAATCTTAAAAAAATGGCTAACCAGGACTTTCGGAAATGCACCTTATTCGATACCGTCTGAGATAACGTCTGCTATGGGAATTCACATTGCAGACTTTAACGGTGACGTTATCGAATAACAACCCTGATCTTAGCCCCGTAATATGGGTAGATCTTCATTTCGTGGTACGTTACGAGATGTAAGATCTACCACTGATTCCTAGTCCAGACTACTTCATACTACACCGTTTGAAAAATTCAAATCCGCTAGATTTGGCGTAAATTTACACGATATTTCGTGTAAATTTAAGCGCAATATCGCATAAATTAACAATATTGTATGCAAGCTTGAAAACGATTTTGCTGTTTATGCCAAGTTTAGCACAAAATTAAACGAAGGGAGATTTTACGCGATACTTAAAATTCAGATTTTTTTTTCTATGTAGAAGAACCAAATTTTTCAGTAATCAAAGGAACACATCTTATTCCTTGCTATTTTTTACGGCTTGTTAATAGTGATAATTCCTCGTGTTGCCTAGACCGAGGATGATCTTGAAACAAGGAAAACATGAGTTAGTTAGTCTTCGTCAATATGATTCCTAATCTTCTATTCGTTGTTTCCTAGTTTGAAGTCATTATGCATGGTCAAAATGGGTGTCATTGCTTAATTGTGTTGCTAAGAAATCCAATTTTGACTGAAAAGGCGGCGTGCCTCTGGAGGGTGCTCTCACTCTTCGAAGGGTGTAAATAGCGAGACCGTTCAATTAGAATCGATTTCTTGTGATGAACTGTATCAACACCGAATACTTCATCATTTCTCAATAGTGATGAAGTAATAGGACATTCACTAAACTAAGGACATGCGATATACTACAAAAGATCAAAGCACTGGTCGCAGTGGTTTTATGTCCCGGACACGGACAAAAACAATAATCATATCCTTTGTACTAGACCCTGAAATGCAACGTATCTTGAATTTTAGCTGCCCAAAAACATTTACAGATTCAAAAGCAGATAAAAATATTTGATAAACTATCAATTACTCGTGAAATTTACGCTCATGAATAGGAATCATTTCATGGTACAACATTCCCAATTCAATCAAAGCTTACTCCATATGGCTTCGAGAGTAAATGTTTTCTCGTTATCATCATCCTATGCTTCTGGATTAAATGCGGCAAAATTTAATAACACAAAAACTGGAAGCATAGGTTGATCTGAGAAATAGTACCATTTTACTATTAAAAGTTGTATTTTTCCAATCTTCTCCATTCGTTGCTCTACTTTGTTTCCATTTACATCCACTCCACATCTGTATCATTTAAAACGTGTTATGGTTCTTTCAACATCATTATTTCCAATAATAACCTTAGCCACAAAATCCTTCCAGAGACCTTCTAGAACACCTAGCTTACCGAGTGGGGCCCCCGCTTTGAGAACCATTCAATCGATAGCTCCTTATGAATGCATTTTTGATCGATTCCTTGTTGGTTGTTGTTTTCTTAAATAAGTGTATTGTAATTCAATTTTCAGATGCATTTTTTACACCATATATAGGTCACGGAGATTCTGTTCGAATTGTAGATGCAGAATTAGGTACCCTAGAACGAGAGCATGTTCACAGCACCACCACTCGAAGGCGTGGTTTGACGCGAAGAGAATCCAGCTCAGGTAAGTAGAAAACACGTTCCACATGGGATATGCATATTTTTAAACAAACTTCATCGGATACAGATGCCACCGACAGCGATCCACTGGTTATCAACACCGATAAAGGAAAAGTCCGAGGTATCACACTCGAAGCACCCAGCGGAAAGAAAGTGGACGCATGGCTAGGAATTCCGTATGCACAGCCTCCACTAGGGCCTCTGAGATTCCGACACCCCCGACCGGCCGAGAAATGGGCGGGAGTGCTCAATGCCACCAAGCCACCGAACTCGTGTGTCCAGATCGTGGACACGGTGTTTGGCGACTTCCCGGGAGCCACCATGTGGAACCCGAACACACCACTATCCGAAGACTGTCTCTACATCAATGTGGTTGTGCCGCGCCCGAGGCCAAAGAACTGCGCCGTTATGCTGTGGATCTTCGGGGGCGGATTCTATTCCGGTACTGCTACCCTAGACGTATATGATCATCGCACGCTCGCATCGGAGGAAAACGTAATCGTAGTTTCGCTGCAGTACCGTGTTGCCAGTTTGGGATTTTTGTTCCTTGGCACTCCGGATGCTCCGGGTAATGCCGGATTGTTCGATCAAAATCTGGCACTGAGGTGAGTCAATCTGATTTTAAATACAATTTCATACCCTCGATTGCTTAGTGGTTATTCAAATGCGATTTCTAAATGAGTTTTAGGGTCAAACTATAGAATAAGCTTAAGTTTGAAAAATGTGATCACGATTCCGAATGATTCCTTTAAAAATTATGACTTCTAGTGTATGTTGGCATCTATGTAACAATTGTTTTGTTAATGAACTTTTCATATAAATTCAGTTGAAATTATCCATGGGAATCTGCTAAACTGTATTTTCTTATTAGATTCCATTTGGAACTATGTTCAGATTAAGATTCTCTTAAAATTCTTTAGAAATTCATGTCGGAACTAGCATGAAATTGTGGTCAAAATAACATACAATCTTTATTACAATTTCTCAGACTTTACTTTCAAATCTGGACAATCTCTAAATGTAATTCGCCATTACTAAACAATACTTGCAAGAATTCCCTGCACGAATTCTTCATTTTATTCGTGGTGATACACATACATTTTTTCAAAACATCAGCCTTGTACATTCCACGACGCATGGTAGTCTAGTTGCATAGAAGTATTGAGCGAAAACCCAAAACTTGATAACTTCAAAAAAACATAACCCTAAAACGACAAAAAAACATATTGCTGATATTTTGATATGTTGTGTAAAAAACTTACATTATCGTTTTGCTATGGAATGGCTAAATAAATAATAAGTACGCTTCTCAAATTTCTTATGTTGAACTATATTAGAAAATATACAAACATATCGCATGAAGCACCATAAGATGTAAAGTGTACATAATAAAACAAATAAAAATTCGCACAACAACGAGGGAAAATTATCTGCAAGTTAGTCTGCAACAAACGTGGTTAATGATACATGAAACACATCAATGACCGAAAATATATATTTAGAGCATCTCTCACGTGAAGATTACACTTGGTATGTTTAATTTATCATTCATCCACATATTTAGCTAAAAAAAAAAGGTAACGAAAATGAGACATAACACATATTAAACAAATTGAAAGAGCAGGTGACAGAGTCGGTGAAAGGGATTTAAAGCAATAATGAGGCTTCGTTTCAACTCGAAAATCGACGTTACTTTCATTGAAAGGGGTGAGCAGAGCAAATACGGGAAATTTGGTTATAAGCGTGTTTCTTATTCATTTTCGTTTCGTGCTGATACTCTAGCTAGGTGTAATAGAAATGATGCGTTAAACACGTATGAAAGAAAAAAATCTCGAGTTAATTTTAGAACATCGAAACTGTACAGCCTATAATTGCTGTTGTCACGAGAATTTGCATTAATGTATCTCCATTTTTCATCAAAATTCCCCTAAATATAATCAGAAATCTTTTGGTATGTTCTTAAGAAATTAGAAAGTATTCTTCCAAAATTTTCTTGGATTTTACTTCAGAATTGTATGGTATTGTATTGTAAGAACTCCAAATGGCTTCGAGAGCATTTCTTGGAATTTTCTTGGGAATCTCTTTGAAATTCTCATGAATCCCTCCTTACAATATGATATTTTCCAGTTTCGATTAAAATTCTTTCTGAAATGCTGAACAGAAAAGCAAATGAACTTTTCTCTTGGACAACTAACAACTGAAAACTTCCAGAATTAGTTACATGGGCCTGCCCCATGTTATAAATGTTATGTCAAAGATATCAACAACTGTTTGGCAGCACAATGCACGCTTAGACAACTTGCAAATGACGGTTTGGTTTCCGTAAGAGGTCCTCATGCCGTGGACTTGCAAGGACCATTGCAATGTTCCTTAGATAACTTGTCTTCTTGGGCAAGGAATCTAGGGATCGAGTTCTCACCGCAGAAAACTGAACTGGTAGTGTTTACTCGAAAGCGGTACCCAGCCCAAATGCAGCTTAATCTTTTGGGCAGAAACATTGCTCAATCAATAAGGGTATTCACTACGAACATTGTAAACATATACACTGTGGTATTAGGGTATTAGGGTCCATTGAAGTGTAATGGAAGTTTACGCATTTACGAGGATGTCTTTCAAGTACCTTGGGATCTGGTTTGATTTAAAGTGCACTTGGAATACCCACATTACGTATTTGAAGCAGAAATGGCAACAAAGGATTAATTTTCTCCGTTCAATTTGCGGCACATGGTGGGGTGCTCATCCGGGAGACCTCATAACACTTCATGAAACAACAGTTCTTTCTGATCTAGAGTTCGGCTCTTTCCGCTTTCTCTCGACAAGAAAATGTCACCTAATAAAATTGTAACGAATTTAATAGCGTTGTCTGCGTATTGCTCTCAGCTGTATGCACTCAACGTATAACATGGGTCTCGAGGTTCTGGCAGGAGAAACACCTCTCAAGAACCGTTTCTGGGAGCTCACAAACAACCTTATAATTGCAAATTTTTAAGAAATTCTTGGGCTGAACACACAATCTGGATTTTTTTCGAGAATCTACCATCACTACATATCATCGGATATGTGTCTTCCTTGTTATTCTGCAGACCATGCTCACTTCACGAATCGCAGCTCCTCAAATGAATATGATCTGACTATGAAACAAGCAACTTTTACTTTTACTTTTACTAGTATTTTTACTGAAAAGTACCAACAAGTCAATTGCGTGAAAAGATATTTTACAGATGGGTCCCGTATCAATGGATAAACTGTCTTCGTAGCCTCGGGTAATCCGCGAGTATTCGGCCCAAGTCATGGAAATAGAACATAGAAATAAGTGAATTTAAAAAAAAAACAAGGAACAATGAATTATCGACTCCGTAAAGCTAACGCGATTGAGCCTTCCAAATAAACGATCTAAATAATCTCAAATTAATATTTTTCGGATAATTTTGAAGCGTTGGACGTGATCAGATAATCCGCTTAGCAATTATTTAAACCTGTGGAAAACTTAGAAGTCAAAAATTGATATGTTGCCAAAATCAGACCCATACAGAAGTCGAATAGAATTTGTTTCATCTTGTGCTGTATAGTGTAATTTGGGTTTTTTTTGTAATTTCTAATACCTCTCAAAACTTTTATTCATGTTGAAACAGCTAAACCTTTTGTTTTAGTTTTCAACAGAAAATCATCTATTATGACTCATTTGGCATGTTAAATTAATAGCTGTCAATATACTAAAGGGTGTCCACGATGAAATTGCCACACTATGAAATTGCTCTAACTTTTTAACCGTTGGGTAGAATTTAATGAAAATTTGGGTGGATTTAGTTCATAGTGCATTATTTACATCCTGCAAGTTTTAAAGTCCTGTGAACTCGCAGAAATGGAGTCGAAAGAACAGCTCGTGCGTGATAAAATCTTGCGCATTCATCACGAGAACAAGGATCTCCCGCATCGTTCCATCGCTAAAACGTTGGGAATCGCGAATTCCACGGTGTCGCGAGTGATTAAGCGGTTCGAGGAACGGTTGACCACCGATCGAAAGCCCAGAAGTGAAGGAAAAAGTATTCCGTACAACACCAAAAATCACAACCGCGTAGTTGGGGCCTTCAACCGAAATCCGAACGCCTCCGTTAGGGATGTGGCTAAGAAGCTGCACCTAAGCCGAAGTTTTGTCCAGAAGGCCAAAACTAAGGCTGGGCTTCGAACGTTCAAGGTACAAAAGGCCCCTAATCGCGACGAGAAGCAGAACAAGTCCGCCAAAACCCGTGCCAGGAAGTTGTACCTCAACATGCTGACGAAAGTTGAATGCTGCATCATGGACGACGAAACATATGTGAAGGCCGACTTCAAACAGATCCCCGGCAACCTGTTTTTCACGGCCAAGGATAAGCTCAGCATTCCGGAGCATGTCCGCACTCAGAAGATGTCCAAATTTGCGAAGATATTCCTGGTTTGGCAAGCCATCTGCACGTGCGGGAAGCGGAGTGCACCTTTCGTGACCCAGGACACGATGAACGGACAGGTGTACATAAAAGAGTGCCTCCAGAAGCGGCTGCTTCCTCTCCTGAAGGCCCACAACGTCCCAACAATCTTCTGGCCGGATTTGGCCTCATGCCACTACTCCAAGGACGTGCTGAAGTGGTATGTGGACAATAAGGTCAATTTCGTGCCGAAAATGTTCAACCCTCCCAACACTCCGGAGCTCCGCCCCATCGAGAAGTACTGGGCGATTATGAAGCAGCACCTTCTTAAACGACCTAAGGTAGTGAAGACAGTCGAGGAACTGAAGAAAGTATGGGTTTACATGCAAAAAACGGTTGATTCACAGGTTGTGCAGAATCTTATGGCCGGGGTTAAGGCCAAGGTGCGGGCATTTGCGTATGGACTGTAAATAAAATACGAGTAAAATGGTAAAATGAAGTTTAATAGTTACTTCTCAATCCCTGAAAATTTGATGGCAATCGGATGAAAACTCGAATTTTGCGAATCAATTTTGTGTGTGGCAATTTCATCGTGGACACCCTTTATAATGATTGCTACACACTTTTTTTTTTTTTTTTTTTTTGGGATTTGAACCACTGCGACCATTAAGCTGATCTATTGTGGTATACCCCTGTTTAGTATCGCATCTGTTCAGGACGACGAGTTACCATTTAGGGTAACTGCCGTTGTTGCCTGATAATGCAGAGTTCCCCAATCTGGTATCATTCTTAGAATGAATTCAACCACCATTTTGGGATTTTTAAACCAAATCTCAGAAGGACTTAGTATGCTTTTGTTGAAATGTTGTCTTCTGCGCACGAATAGTGCCGAACATTCGCAGAGTAAATGTTGAGAGGTCTCTGTCTCACAGTCACAAAACCTACAGATATCTGTTTGACTTCGATTTATCTTTTTCAAATGATATCTAGCGGGACAGTGTCCCGTAAGTAGCCCAATAAGTATGTTTAGTGATTTTTTATTTAAATTTAGTATTTTTTCCGTAATTCCTTTGTTTGGAGTAATAAACAATTTGGATTGCCTTGAAGTATTCGTAGCAGCCCAATTTGACTGTATCATATTGTCTTCCCATTTTTTCATTTCCATTTGTATTACACATTTAGATACCCCACAGAAAGGTTCT